TTTTTTTTTTTTTCGATTTTTTTTTTTTTTTTCCCCATACAGGGGGTCGGGGTCCCGGGTGCCGACCCCCGGAACCCCGGAACCCCGGCGGGGTCCTGGGGCCGGGGGTCGACAACCCTGCTTGCTTGGTCCAGCTATCGGCCGTGGAAAAAAAATGGAGTAGAAACGTTTCTAGTCGGATGAATTTGGGCGCTCCTTCCTGTAGCGGCCCATATGTTTTCTAAAATTGTGGCTCGTTAATGGGCACGACTTTAGGAAGTACTGGTGGGTTCAGCACCTCCCTCACCTGAACCCCATTTAGCCTCCCCGGCTGGTACACAAGTGCATGCTCCTGAACACCTTCATGACCTGCCAATATCTCCTGGCCACAAATCCATTACTGCACATTACGCCAACAAGAAGATTCATCTCCCCGACATCTTCCTCAACCTCAAGCACATGATCAGTAGAAGTGCAGTTCGGGCCGTAAGATACTACAAAGATTTCATTATGCTCTCATTGGCTTGAACTTCTATGTGGGACCCGTTCTTTTGTCGTCGTCCGCGATGGAGGGATCCACTGTGGAGGTAACAAAAATAGTCCCTGCCTTCCAAAAATTATCACGATATGTTGGCCGTAGTGTGCCGTCACAGTGGAGGGTCGTTCGCAGGGTAGGTGGGGCCTTTGAAACGGCGAGTGGTACCACCCTCCTCACGGAAAAGAGGGTGGTTTCTTGGGGACCTCGCTTGATATTTACACAACCCTGCCCTATCTTCACGTGGAAACTATTGGAACTTGGAACAATGATTCTCCAAAAAAAAAAAAAAGAAGAGAAACCATTGACTGGGACATCAGTAACTCGATATGTATGGCACCGTTTCGATTCGGGGATTTTCAGGAAGACACATGGTTGATAACGGAGAGTAATAGACTGAGAGCCTACTCACACTAGCGCTTTTCGGAACGCAACAGGCTGCAATTGTGTCTAGAGCTTTGTGGGAAAAGTCCTTGTGTGAGTATGCCATGAAAATCTATAGGAGGCATAGTACTGCAGGGGAACAACTGTGATACTAGCGGGGCGTGGATTAATCTGACTGCAATCATATCTTGAACTTGGTGAAAAAAATCCCAGTGTGATAATGTCCTGATAACCTCTACAAGATGCACAAACCGAAGATGCAGGGGAACATCTGTTCCACTAGCGTACATGCTGCTGTATTGGGCAGGACCTACCAGTGTCCCGTTTCGGTGGACATCCATCCAGGCATAACGATCCATTTTGCCTGAGTGGATGTCCAGTGAAATGGTTCCTCGGTGTCACACTTTTTCCAGTCGGGCCCCTTCAGGGGACCAGAAAGCCAACAGACTGTGACGCAGGATTTGGTTGCTTTTGCAATAAATAAAATAAGTTAATTAAAGCAAATCCCTTCCTGTTGTGAGCGTCCGGCTTCGAGCGAGACCCTTCAATTACGGTCTTCGCCGGCCCTCGGTCTTAGGAATCTTAAGAATCATGCAAATAATAATCGTAAATTTTGAGGTGTCATGCATACATCAATTTGCCAATTTTTTAATTTTGAGAACTGCGACAAAATCATCAAAGAATACAATCGTCATCAAGGACAATGCAAGAAGCAAGACTGATCGACTTGAGCAAAGGCAAGTTAAGTGAGGGAAGAATGAAAACTCATAATAGTCTAAGAAAGTACACGTGTAGAGAGCATTGAAGCACTAGTCAAGAGTCCTCACTCATCTCTCTGACCCTCACACTCAATCTCTCATTTAGCTATCTCTCCGTTGTGCTTTGGACCGTGTCCCCGTACTCTTTAAGGTTGTGGCGTCTCGATGTAGAGTCACCTGAAGCCCGCAAGCTCTGAGCATTTTCATCCGAGTCCTATGATACGGAAATCAACCATAACACAAAATTCCTACCATAATGTGGGGAGATATGGCGAAAGAAAATCCCTCATCTTAGATGCTGGAACTCTGAAGACTCTGTCACAGTGACGTAATCAATCACTACAGGGGAAATATACCTTTTGGCCAGATCTACCAGTTCTCCCCAGCACGAATTGTCTGTGAGAGTGAAACGTACATGAGGCTTGGGGTAGTCTGAGTAAAACTTCGGCCTAAAAATACAAATCAGTTTGGTTCCACTCTCATCGAGTTCTTTTTCTCTCTCCTCAAGATGCCTAACGGCTGAAACTCGGATTGAGTCTGAGTCGAAGTGATCACGAGTCTCCTTGTCTTTCTTTACATAGGGTCTTATGTCATTGATAGTGCCACCAGCAAAACTGGTAAGGACTACAAAGACCGACAGGTCCCCTTGGCTGAAGCCCACAACATTGACATATTGATATCTGATAGCATCTTTGAGGGATATCCTGTTGAGGCTGGCCAAGAGTGACCCACTGATTGGGAACGACTAGACCGCACTCATGTGTTGGGACAATTTTTACTGCCGGTTTTCTGATGATCTTCGTAATTGGCCTGACTGCCTCGGATGGGGTGTATGAGTTGCCTGATTTGCTGGTCAAATCTTAATTGAGACTTTCTAGTGACCCTAACGACTTTGAATTCTGATTTAATACTGATTGGATGGTGACTGAATATTGATTGAATACTGCTTGAATATTGATTGAATATCGCTTGAATACTGATGGAATATCGCTTGAATACTGATTGAATACTGCTTGAATACTGATTGAATACTGGTTGAATACTGATTGAATACCGCCCGCTTAATAACTGCACATAGTACTGCTCACTTAACAACATCGCTGGGTACCGCTCACTAAGTATTGCTCACTGATAACTAATCAGTGATAACTGCGCAGAGTACTGCTCACTTGGTAGCAGCGCTGAATACTTCTCACTAATAACAACGTTGAGTACTGGTCACTGACAACAACGCTGAGCACCGGTCACTGATAACAACGTGAGAGTACTGGTTACTGACAACAACGCTGAGCACTGAGGGTTATGTGTTGCTTACTGATTGGGTACGCTGGCGAAGTCCTTGAGGAGAGGAATCTGAGCACTCTCACGCTCTCTTAGACTTCGCCCTG